TCTTTGTCTGTGGTTTTGGTCAGTCTGGCTATAATGTGTCTTGGAGAAGATCTTCTTGGGTTGATTCTATTTGGGGTCCTTTGTATTTCTTGGGACTGGATCTTTGAGTGCCTCTCTAGGTTTGGAAAATTTTCTTGCAGGATTTTATGGAATAGATTATCAATGCCCTTATGGGTCTCTTCGCTTTCTAGGATGCCAATTATCTGGATGTTTGGACATTTGATGGTATCTAGTATTTCTCGTATATTCTCAAATTTGGGGGCAATTTTCTCAGTCTTCGTGGTGGATTTTTCTAGGCCAGCAATTTTCTCTTCTACATCTGAGATTCTATTTTCTGTATGATCTGGTCTGCTTTTAATACTTTCAAGAGAGATTTTGACTTCCTGTATTATAGCCTTCATCTCTAACAGTTCCGTTTGAGTCTTGTGTAAAGTGTGTAATTCCTCTTTTAGATCTTGCAGGAATTTCCTCACCTCCCGGCACTCGTCAGCTCCTGTCTCCATTCTCTTCTGCAGTTCCTTGTCTCTCTTCTCTTCCATCTCTGTAAGCTTCGCCATTATGAATGTTCTAAATTCTTTATCAGACATTTCCATGATTTCCACTGAATTGTCTGCAGATGAAGAGGAGTTATTCTTTTCCCTTGGGGGACAGGTATTTTCTTGCTTTCCCATATTTCTTGTGGTCCTGCGGTGATTTCTAGTCATCTGATGGAAAAGTGTGTTTCTTCCCAAATTTGAAGTTCAATCACGCGAGTTTGAGGGCTGGAGGCTGAATTATCAGTGGAGAATCTTCATTTCTCCTAGTCTCCTGAAATCATTAGTTCTCAGTAGCCATGAAGGGGTCTTCTGTCAAAAAACCCTGACTTTTTTAAGAAGAAAAAAATAACCCTACCATGTCCAAATATACCTCTCTTAATTGCGAAGTATTCCTTTTCAATCTTTGTTCATAGTATATTTCTTCAGACAGTTATCGCCATGAAGAAGACTTCATATGCACGCTAATCACTTTCACTATACTTTCCCACACGGCCTTCAGCACTGACTGGTCACGGCGCCGTACTTGAGCATGGGCTACCTCCTCGATCACTTTCCTTTCAGAAGGCACCTCACCAGCTTTCTCTCCAGCCTGCATTGCTAAGACTGCAGCACACACCCTTTGCCTCTGATACCCTTCCTCAATCCCATCTTCCCTCGCAGCCACCATTCTTACGCCGTGCCCATTCTCTGAAGGCTGCCCTCTGCCAACGTGCATGCCTCGTCCTGCAAGCCCGCGTCAGCCACAGTGTGCGCCTCCCTGGTTAATCTGCGGCTCCCTTCATTGGAACACCCTCTCTTTCCTCCTCCCCACATAAACCCCCTTTAGCTTTCAATGCCAGGGTCCCTTAAACAGCTCTGTGGAAACAGTCGATTGGCGAGGGCACCAGGACAGAAAGGCAGGTGAGATTTCAGGTTCTCTGTGATGACGTCACCCATGCTGCTGCTGCTGCTCCGTGCTCTTTCTCTGTCTCTCTTCCTGGACAGTCTTACCTTCCCAGTCATAAAAGTCATCAGGGGCAAAACCCAGAAGCCGAACAGAGGCTCACAGGTCTGATTATGTACAATTAAACAAAAATGATTTTATTTAACTTTGTTTATTTATTTCAATTTGACCAGAGAAAGACAGAGAGAAAGAGGAATTGAGAAAGCAAGCCATCAGGTCCGCCAACCACACCACAGTCGGCCATGTTGGAGTCCAACACCTTAACCACTATGTCACCTGCTGGCCCCACTTTTTAAGAAGTTGGTGCTTTCTTTTTTTTTTTTTTTTTTAGTGGGGGGAGTTTTGCTATATGATGTGTGTACTTGCCACAGAGAGAGATGGAAAGTGAGGAATCACCCTTATGTGCTCCCCTCCCCTGGCCCCCCGTGGGGTAGCCACACAGCAATCCCTTCTCCTCCAATCTCCTCTTAGGATTTTGGGTACGCATACGTGCTCGGTGTGATTTTTCAGGCTTGCGCGTCTGAGACTTGAACCTTGAAGCTAGTCATGTGGGATACAGTGCCTTAAGCTCCACGCTGGCTCTGATGTCTCTTCTTCTTTTTCCTTTCCCTTTTTTTTTTGGCTTAACCAGAAAGTGGATATAAGTGGAGGAGGGGAAGGAGTCATC